GTGCACTTGTAGTGAAATACAAGCTCAATTTTGCTTCATATCATGATGCTATTATCAACATGATCATCCATCGACGACGTTGTACTAGCATTATAATCATGCATGTCAATCGGTCGTCCAGATGCTTGATAGTACCTCTTTGTTTGGTTCAGCTTGGACGTACATGCGCTGCGTGCACAAGTGGTCAAGTGCATCGATCGATCATTGCATTTTCATCAAGAACATGGCATGTAGGGTGACCACCGATCAGTACAAGGCTAGCTAGGCGGATAGCTAGGGTGGAACTGGTACGGTTGTGTGGGGATGCAGCACAATTATTGAGGTGCATGATCATGCATGCAGGCAGGAGTACGTGTCCAAAAACAAGCAACATGGAGGGAGGGAAAATAGCGAATGCTTACGTAGATGGAGTTCTTGTGCGGGCCCATCTTGCTGCTGCTGCTGCTGAACTTGAGAAGCGGGATGAGTGCAAACGGCAGCTCAAACGACAGTATCATCTGCAGAAAGAAGATCCCATCACATGAATGAATGAAACCAATTATGCACAAGATAGAACCCAATCATTCCGTCGCGGTTGTTACAAGAAGGGCATAAAAGTTTTCAGATGCTTAATTTGCTAGTGCATATTTGTCAGTCAAACACTCGCTGGCTGCTAGTAAGTCGTAGTTAAGTCGTGCGAAATATAGTAGTGGATGAGGCACTATATATGTGTGTTTGTGTTTTCTGACCGAGCAGCGACGGGGACCGGCGTTTCGCCGGTGCAAGTGCAGCCGCCGTCGTTTTCGTTCTCCCTAATATTGACAGTGAGGGCGGCTCGTGTAAAGAGAGGAGGTGAGGTCGCCGTACCGAGGCGATGATGATGAGACGGCCGGCGCCATTCGACCCGCCGATGATGGAGACGACTAGGCTGGGTGCAATGGCGATGCAGCGTGTCATCAGGTTCCTCAGCCACGTCTTCATCTTGATGTCCAAGAACCCCTAATTTTCACAAGTCGAAAAAGGAAGGGCCATTTGTGGTTAATAAATATATTTAAGAGTGCGATCGAACTACCAGACCAACAAACCCACAGATACATGCACGCGTGGACTAATTAAAAGGAGGAATTAGTGGTGGAGTATCAGAAAAAGATGACAAGTAACTCTACTTACTTCTAGAATAGACATGTCATACATATATAGCTGGAAAGTACCTGCATGATGTACTGGCCGGCATATGTGCCGGTAATGGTCGAGCTTTGCCCTGAGGCTAACAGCGCCACACCGTACACGATCGAGCTGGACCTGCCCAGGACGTTCTGATGCGTCCAACAGCACAAAACATTTCAATCTAATTGTTGTACTGTATTATCTTGTGTCAATACTTTGTACTAACTAGTCGTGTTGTTATGTACCTTGAGCAGAAATGAGGAGTTGTCCAGACTGAGGTCACTGCATTTGTCGATGTCCTCCGCCGAGAGGTTCTCCCCGAAGCAGACGGTCCCGGACACGGAGATGACGGCTATGTTGATAAGCAGCGCCACGAACAGCGCGAAGCCGCTCTCGTACAGGAAGAACCTGCAAGCATCCTGATCGACACACACATATGTTTAGTACGCAGAGTT